GGCACGTCTGCCTCACAACTATCACAGAGAGGCTTTTACATTTCAAGTTTAATACACACTTTTTGGTATTTATAATGCAAATAGAAAAACTAATAAGAGAACTAAGCGTTGATAGTTCAAATGAAAAATACACACGGCCTTCAAAATAAAAGCCTGCAGTCAGCCTTTCTCTATCCTTAACCTAAACCTTGTTTATATACAGACATAAACACGGGTGAAGTATGCTACAAACTGTGTAAATACAGCGGGGAAAAATCACCTTGTTAACTGATGTACAGCGAGCACACTCCACGCGGTGCTTCCTCCTCCTCCTCCTCCTCCTCCTCAGCGGCAAAGTGGGCGGGCATGTGCGAGCATGTACTCTTCTTCATTGGAGTACAGCACGGAGCTGTCTTGTATCTGGGCGTTGAAACCTGCCCCCGTTCATAAAGCCCGGGTTTCCATTTAACATTCACTGAGTCAGAGCGAACGCGCAGTTGGGCACGTCGACCCTCGCGAGGACCTCTACGTCTCTTATCTTCCGTCGGTGAGTTAGTTGGAGCCTTTTAAACGTCACTTCAGCGGTCGCAGCTGTTTTAATAAGACGCAGTTCCTGTTCTTAACTCTAACCTGCTCTTCTGGACGCTTATAAATTTGAAACGTAGCAGCCGCATAATGGAAACAATATTAGGCTGAACTTGACTTGATCCAAATGCATTACGGTAAACAGAAAACATGTGTTGGTTGTTACTACAGTATTATAGCACGACAAAGCAGATGTGGCTTTGTATATAGGGAAATGTTTTTGTAATATTGCTGACTGAATTTAAATGCATCGTGGCCAAACAGGTAACTAAAACCATCCAAGTAACCATTAGGCCTGATTTGTGTTTAAAGAGCAGAAACACTGGAGCGTTTTATTATTATGAAGTATGTTTGTAAACCGAAACAGCCCGCATAATAGTTGCTATCTTGGCCGACACCCTAATTAAGACCACCCAAACCCCACCCTACAAATAACTCTGAAAGAAAAACTGCAGTACTGTATGTTCGATTCGAGTTTTACTTAATGCATTGTACACGTTTAAATTCATCCTTTAAACATGGCAGGTAGGACATCATGCATAATTTCATTGTGTCATGGTTCCCTAGTGTTTACAGAAGCTTTAGAAGCATTCATGTCTCCAGCTGACACGCTACAGTATATATACTCTGCCTGACTGTTTCTATTTGCAGTAGACCTATATTTTTTACAGCACCCAAAAAACAGTTTTGCACACTTTTGCATCATTACTGTGGCAACCTATTCAACCTTGGTGAACAGTGTGTGCACATTATGTGCTGTTCTTCTGTCCTCGCATGTAGAAATGGCACTGAGCTCCATAAAGTCCTTCACCCTAGAGCTGGATGGTCCGGCTGATGCGGCGTTCATTGGAGGGGAGGTGGTGTCTGGCCAGGTGGTCCTGGAGCTGTGCAGGGCCACCAGAGTACACTCCATGAAGGTGCTGGGACGAGGAGTAGCCACAGCACACTGGCTGGAAAACCGTGGCATGAACTCCGTCTATAATGACTACACTTCTAAAGTCACCTATTTTAGGAAGAGACAGCATCTGATCAGAGGTTAGTATTAAAGATTGCAGATGATATTACTGACATGGAGTAATTAGTATTCTGTTTGTACAGTGGTTAATGTTCACTCTGACTGTAAAATATCCCCAGGTGAATTTCCACAGTCTTTTTTTTCAAGGTTCTGTTGAGACACAAACACACTATTAGGCTCACACATAATGCAAAAGTTGCAAGCGAGAAGTAGATTTTTTGCCATTCTTCTTTATATTTAACAAAATAAACAACTGAGTGAGCAAATGAGTTAATTTTTGATGCACTCGATGCAGTGACAGTAGTGGTGAACACACAAACTATTAACTGCGACTGCTGGAAAGGGCAGGACAGCACTTTTAAAGACACTTGTATTATTTGTGTTGAACCTGATGCCATTCTCATACTCTTTTTCTACTTCTTCTGTCCCATAATGTAGCTGTGTAGTCTTATTGTCAATAAAGTTTCTGCAGTTTGCGGCTCTGTTGCTAAATATAAACGTAACAACTGTATTTCAGTGTATGTTGCACCTGGTGGATGAAAAGTGTTCTCTCTGCGCCGAATAATGTGGTGTTAAACTGCTGATCTGTTGTTTGTGTGCCAGCTGGTCAACACTGCGTCTTGTAGTCGATGCAGTTTGCAAACTGGAGCCACCTGGGCCAAATGTGTTGCGCGGAAACCTGCGTGAGCGACCAGATATATCTGCCAGATAGCATAATCTTTGACATTAAACACAAACCCATTAGTGTAGAGTCCAAACATATGCAGTTGGTTCACTGGGTATGACGTTGTACTGGACGTGGTACTGTAACGTGTTGAATTCTCTGAGCATGGACAGCATCGAGAAACAGAGAGCACAGGCCATCGTAGCTATGTAAATAAACACAGTGGTTAATGTTTCATAGGATGCTGTGTTTGACTCCATATTTTGGGCAGATAAGTAGATGCCAGTAGTTTTAGATTCCAGCGGCTGCAGTGCAGTTTAATTGAAATTGCAATTCCAGACAGTGCATCATTATCTGCTGCAACAGTTGTGCCTTCTGCTCTGCGGTTAAAGGTGCACTTAGCATGTTTTTTACATTCATATTAATTCTACAGCCTACATTTAATCCTAAATCATATATATCACTGTCTACTTTAGACCTGATGCCTTTCCTTACACAACGCAAAAGAGATTTGTTGTTACCACTACACTATGGAGGCACCTCAGTCATATATGTCACTAAAAGAACAGGTTTCCAATTGAACTCATTGTAGTTTTCCTCATCTCATTCATCAATTTTGGAAGAACACTTTTTATTTTATTATTGATTTATTTACAATTAGCCAAACAGGAGAGTTATCTGTGGTTATTTCATCATGTTGAACTTCTAAATCCCACCATACTTACACATAAAATGAAGTGTCTAAAGCAATATAACTGTCAAATCCTCACAAAACTATGTGATTTCACATAGTTTTGTGAGGATTTGACAATTTTTGGTCCTAATGATCATTGTATCAGTGAAGCCTAAAAAAACTGGTTAGTGTGAATAAGGTGTAGAGCCATAGAACCTGTGTATGAAAGATGGACCTGGTGGTACAGCTTTAGCTTTGCTAATAGCCACAGAAAAGAAAAAAAAAGTCTCATAAATGTTGTCACACAAATGCAGTTTTATTTTGTTTTTTAAAACTTTATTGCACGAGTTGTACGTGTATATTTTGCACTGGTGTGGTTTGTACAGAATAATGTTACACTGGCACAGACGCTGGGAGGTTTGTCCTGTAAATGACATTTGCAGGACCTCTCCAGGAAATAGCAGCGCTAATTATTTTTGCACAGCCTTAACCTTCTGATATGTGTCCTACATCTTCCCAAGAACAAAATTATTTCCTTTTTTAGATTTTATACATTTATTTATTTATTTATACCTGGTGAGTTTAGAACAGGAGTAAATATACATTTAATTAAAGATGTGGGATGTTGTATGTGGTCTAAGCAGAAAAAAAAAGAGGAGGAGGTAGAAGACAGGAGAAAGAAAGGAAGGAAGAGGGGGGAACGCGTGGGGTGGAGGGGGGCTGTTTTTAAAAAATGCAGCCTACGTCACTATGGCAACAAGGAAACCAAGCCACGGCTCTCCTTGGCGCCGCCCTCTTTACCGTGCTGTCAGCTGCTGCTGTTCCCCATTCTTTTTGCAGTGTTTTTTAAGGCTCATTGTTCTCCAGTTGTCTGTGAATTAACGCAGAACTTTATAGAACTGATATTTGCTGTGTCGTAATTTAGTTCGTATATTTGTTTAGTGAGCAGCTCCACAGAGGAGCCCCTTTGGTCCCCCTCCGAGAGTAATCATACAGAGTCATCTGCACAGTGGGGGTGATCTATCAGGCATGTGCAGAAAGCCACATGGCCTTCTGCATTAAAGCATGGAGCGCTTTACAGCCGGCTTTGCTCCTGCTTACCAGCAGATGGCGTGCTGGCTTTGCTTTTACTCCAAATCGGAACTCCTTGCATGCAACTTGTTTGCTACAAGTTAAATTTGGGCTTGAGCTGATCGGTAAGTGGCAGTAGAGAGCTGACTCTTCGTCCCGGGAACAAAGACGTAAACAAGTTTGTTTTTCACAGAGCAGACCTGAATGAAGAGAACCTGCAAAAGTGGCGGATTAAAACCCCCACTTCTGCGCACAGATCACTCTGTTCGGACATTTTTGGAGCCGAATGTTAAATTTAAAGAAGTCTCTATTGATGACATAATTAAACTGTCGCAGAGCTTTTCTTTGCGTTTCATCTATGACTTTTCTTTATTTTCTTTAATAACTGCTGCTTGTGTTTGTACTGAATTGCAATAGTATGTTAAAAGAAACAGGGGAGAAGTGGAGTAAACAGCTTCGGTACCGACTGAAACTACCCTGAGCCTCCCAGGGTCTCTCCCAGACCGAGGCATACCCAGTAAGCCTGTTTTCTTCTAAGAACCTGTAACCATCAATCATCCCCAGGCCCCGTTTTCCCCTCTACCGCCTCCACACCCAGCCTGCGTGTTTGTTATGCTTCCTTCAGGCTTAGTTTGGAAATGTGGACGTTTTTGTGTGTGTGTGCCTGTGTGTGGGAGAATTGCTGCACCTTAACAGCCCGACAAAATGGAAAGTAATGCCGGGACTTTTTGTTTGATAAGCAGGCCAGATGAGCGGCTGTTGTTTTCAGTTTCATTTTCATCATGATTACAGTCTCATGTTAATTCTGACATCATCTCGTAGGCCCTGCTGTGAGCACGTATCCCTGTGGTTTCATACCTGTTGCGTCCTCCTGGAGCAGGAGGTCAACTTGTAAACAAAAGAGGTCAAATTAGACCAACAACAACCCCCTAAAACACGGACGCACCACTTGTTTCTCTTTTGCATTTGAAGTTTAGCCTGCTGTTTACCAGATGTGCTGTTGTCCTGGGAAGTTCAAGTTCTGTCCACTTTTTTGAAACCTGATCGGTTTTCTTGTTTACGTTGACGGAGTAAAGAAGCTGTCTCGACTATGTCTTATTTACAACAACAGCAGTCTGAAGGGTCAGCGCCGAGGAGGAGTTCCTGAAGGCAGCATCGCCCAGCCTTCAACCCTCTCCTGAGGCCTTACATAATGATCCGTAGACTCCGCCCACTTTCTCAGCCTGCAAAAAGGCTGCCGTCCGAAAGTGAACATCATATCGAGCTTTCGAGCACACGAGAGTAGGCGGCAGCAACCTGGAGAGCCACTCTCAGCACCCTTTAAACACACTGCGAAGGAACAATAAAGGAATCTCTCACTTCTTTTCGTTTGAGAACAGAGAGGAGTCGCAAAACCTGCAAAAAATGATTTTCGACAAGCTGAAAAAGTTTGACATAGTCTTCGACTCTCCGGAGGTGGACTGTCCTCCTGTGTACAGCAGTGGGGATGTTGTGTCCGGGCGGGTGGTGCTGGAGCTGTCCGGGGAGAGTCGGGTAGACTCCCTGAAGCTTCACGCTGAGGGTTTTGCAAAAGTGCACTGGACCGAGTCCCGATCGGCGGGCTCCAGCACCGCGTACACCCAGAACTACGGCGACGAAGTGGAGTACCTGAACCGCAGAGAGGTGCTGCTGCAGGCAGGTCAGTCCAGTAAGTCTGTCAACTCAAGCAGCCAAAGTGTCCTCTCTGTGATCGAGCGGTCTAGACAACTGTGAAAACAGCTTATCTGTGTGGGGACAGATTGTCTGCAGACTTAAAATAGTGTGTTTCAGGATGTTTGCGTAGATGGTGACTGGGATGAGTTAAAGTCTAACTGTCCCCACTTCTGTAGTTAACTTTAGATCGGAGACTTTGCATTGGTTACGAATGATTTATAAACTTGTAAACTAGAACAGCAACTCGTGTAAACGCTGACAATGAAAAAGAAAACCATTCAGGTTCATTTCTTTTACTTCCTTGAAGAAGAATACGTGAGCATGTACATAAAGAACATAGAGCAGCAGCTGCTTCCTCACCCCCAAAACGTCTGTGGGGAAAAATAAAAGAAGTAAGACTGGCTTTTCCAAATTGAAAGCAAATCCAGACTTGTTTTTCCTCCTTTTCTGCATGCTGACTTTGCCTCAGGTTTCTGGCTTCATTCATTTGGACACGGAGCTGTTTTTGGTTTAAAGTACAGGCAGGAAATGGGCAGCCAAGGGCTTTGTCGATTTTTCTGTTGTTTTCCTGCCGAGTTTAGCCTCTATGCTCGGCTGCATGTTGTGTGAAAACCTGCAGCCAGCAATGAGAAAACACATCATGCAGCACATATCAGCTGAATCTGCTTTGGGGGATTTTGCTGATGGGCACGAGAAAGGCTTTCTTGTTGCAGCCTACTTGACCCATGAAGTTGACATGTTGTTGGTGTTGTTTAAATGAAATCGGAGTATTCATCTAACAAAGGTTCACCAAAACCAAAACACCAGTCCCCGGATTTGTGCTGCAAGAGTGAAGAGAACCCAGGAGAGTTGAGACGAGCTGTGTGATATCGCTCGAGGAAAACATGTTCTCAGTCAGCACAATAGAGAAGGAACCGCCCCTCTGAGCAAGCAAAGCAACCATGTGATTGCAGAGAAACAGAGGCTTACGGGACTGTTCCTATGAAACAAGCGTTATTCATGTAGAATACTTTTGTGTCTGTTGTGATGCATAGTTGTAAAAGTGGGTATTTGCTGCCAAATAAATAAGCTTTCAGGTAATCAGAGCGCATTCTACTGTCAAGTTGAGGTTTATTTCCACAGTCAAGCAAAGCTGATGCAGGTTATATGAAGTATACGTTATACATACCATTAAATCATCAAATAAAACAAAGTCTGTGCTACCTGATCGTCTGCGCTGTAAAATTTCCTCCTACCACAGAGCGAGTCTCTGCGCCTCTGTTATAGAAATTGTTTTGGGAAATTAACAAAAAAATGAAAGAACAGGTGACTGACTTAGAATTTTTTTCCCCCTCTTTTTTTCAGATAACGGTGAAGTGACAGTCCTACCTGCTGGCAAACACGAGTTTCCATTCAGCTTCCAGCTGCCAGAAGAAACTCTGGTCACCTCCTTCGAGGGAAAACATGGCAGCATCCGTTACTGGGTCAAAGTTAAGCTACACAGGCCGTGGGCCACAGTCAGGAAAATCAAGAAGGAATTTACAGTCATCGAGCCCATCGACATTAACACACCAGCCTTACTGGTAAGTGCCTCAGACTTCACATTTCATCGCTGGGATCTATTTATTTATGCATTTTGAGGGTTTTATGGAATTTGCTCACTGGTTTTTATAATCTCCAGGCACCACAGGCGGGTACGAAGGATAAAATGGCGCGGGCGTGGTACCGCAGCTTTGGGCAGGTGTCGGTAACTGCAAAGATTGACCGCAAAGGCTACACACCAGGTACGCACATTCTGCTTTTCCCATGTGCTCAAACTTTTGTAGTGTCTCATCTTTCTAAGCGTGCTTTCTCTCTCTCCACAGGCGAGGTGATACCGGTCTTTGCCGAGTTCGACAACTCTACCTCCAGATCTGTTGTCCCCAAAGCTTTTATCATTCAGACGCAGACGTTCATCGCCCGCGGCACCATGAAGCAGAAGCGCTCCGTCGTGGCCACGCTTTGCGGTGACATCGTCGGTGCCAAACGTCGGGAAACCTGGCACGGCCGCGCCATCAAAATCCCACCTGTAGGTCCGTCCATCCTGCAGTGCCGCATCATCAAAGTGGAGTACATGCTGAAGGTAAGCTGCCGGCCTAACATTGGCGCTGCTGCAGTTCTGAGTCCACACTCAGTCCAGGTAGCATTATAAACTCTCTTTCCTCCCGTCAGGTTTGTGTTGATGTACCCGGAACATCCAAGCTGTGTCTTGAGCTGCCTCTGGTCATAGGCACCATACCCCTCCATCCCTTCGGCAGCCGAACATCCAGCGTCAGCAGCCAGTACAGCGTCAACCTGGAGTGGCTGCGCATGGCCATCCCCGAGCAGCCAGAGCGTAAGTGTCCCGTACTGCTTTATGGGAAGAAAAGGGGAAAAACTCCCCACATGGCAAACAAGTTTTTCTTTCTTTTTGCCAGTATTATTTTTAGAGCGTGCCACTTTTTTCTTTGACAAGAAAGCCAAAATACTGCATGAGTCAGATGTACAAACAAAGGTTTTGGTTCCACAGAAACTCATGTTGGATCAGATCAGTGTTTGTTACTGCCAAAGGCGCTTAATGTTACGTGGGCTTTCAAAATGAAGTCATGAGTCAGCAGCTCGATGTTTGGACCTGTGCTGTTCCGTCGTGTCACGCGAGTGGACTCATCCTGCCTGTGTTTTTTCCCTGCAGCTCCTCCGGATTACAGCTCTGTGGTGACCGAGGAGGAGGCCGAGCAGCGCCACAACGCCGTGGCCTCGCAACAGGCTGAAGACCTGAGCGGGATCCTGGAGCGACCCCTAATGGCTTTTGTCCAAGAGTTTCGCTTCAGACCTCCGCCAATGTACAGCGAGGTGAGTCACCATTGGCTGGAAGCGACTCCTGTTGTTTACTGCGATTGAGTGGCACATATAAAAGCTTACATATAAAGGCCTTTTATTCCCTGCTTACCAAAACCTCGAGATCTCAGCTGTGTTGTGTAACAATAGCTAAATGGAAACAAATCTGTGGGTGTAAGCAGAGTGTAGGTTGAGCATAATTGAAGAGTGTTTTATTCAAAGACTGGATTATCTGCTTGCCCAACCTTCATCTGATGCATTTTGATTTTCTTTTCTTTCCTGCAGATTGACCCCAACCCTCAGCCCATCAACATGAGACCTCGCTGCATGACATGTTGAACCAAGAGCCCTGCCTGAGCTTCAAGCAGCCTCATTAACGAAACAAATCAAGAGATTTGTCTTCTCCCGGATTATGTCTCTCTGATTAATAGCACTTGCTAACAGATTGACTGGAGCGCCAGGAGACGGAGCTCACAGGAACTGGATGTTAGTGGAGGAGGTGCCACTTTGTTTCCAGTCCAGTAAAGTGGATGCTTTCCTGTTCTGGCTGAAAGGAAAGCAACTTCTCTGCTTTGGTTCCTGTCCTTCCCAAGTGACTTTTGGCTCCCTGCGTGGTGAGCTACAAATACCTCCCAATCAACGATTCCCTAACGTGAAGATATCTCTATATTTTTTTGTGTTTTCAAGGAATTTGGGACATTTTGGTAAGGGTTGAGATCACTTGATATTCACCAGGCGGAAAGTTGGAACTGAACCTGGCATTCAGATGTCTGAAAAAGGCGCTCTTGATAAGATGGCCGACTGTCATCTTTGAGTGGCGTAAAGAGAGAAGTGCAATTATTTCCCGCAGTTTCCAACTTTCCCTATGCCTGAGATTTTTTAAAACACACATCACTATGCATTGTGTGCCTACGGTGATTTCTGTTACTCGAACGCATACGTAGGTGTGACGGTGGAGCAGAAAAGTCAGAAAAGAAGATGTAGACGTATTTTATGCATGCAGGTAACAATATGTAAAAGGGAAAAAAAATATGTGTGCCTTAATTATCTGCAGTTGAAGTTTGCATGAGAGTTTCAGGGAGCTGTTCTCTCGGACAGAGCTGGATAGAGCTGAATGTATCCTGCAAGAACTTAGAACAAAAAAGAAGCAGTCAGCATGTATGTAGATGTATTCCAAGAGCCTTGTTGTGTTAACACAAGGCTCAAGGCACTGAAGTGTTAGATAGCTATGGTGTTATAATGCAGTGGTAATAAAATAGGGGGTTCCAGTTTGCTTATAAAACTGCACAAGGCTCGTAGATTAGCTCTCCCAGCTGCTAAACAAAAGGACAGGAGGAGTGGAGACCTCCGAGCTGTGTGGACTGAATCTTTCGGTGGGAGCCAGATGCCTCGGTGCTGTGGGTCAAGCCTTTAGGTGGAGATGCCACTGAAACATAGGGACAAAGAACATTCCAAAAAAAAAAACCTTCTCAAGGATTATGTTTCTCCTCAACTTCCAAAAAAAAGGAGTTTCAGAAGTCTTCAGGTTCAGCTGTGTGACAATGGCTGAAGTCGACGAATGTATTATTTTTTTATACAAGTGCAATTGTTGATTCACAGTATTGCCCAAATTTTTGTAATTGTTTTTTCTAATAAACAATTTTTGAACAGATGTTTGTCTTCAGTGTTTCCTTAATAGTTTAATTATTTATATAGCACATTTAATTACAACAGGAGCGTTGACCAAAGTGCTGTACAAGAATACAACATACATAATAAAACAACTTGGAGTATTAAAAGCAAACACCAAATATGAATTAACATATAACTCTCATGCTGTATTAAAAGCCAATAAATAAAAATGTGTTTTAAGATAAGATTTAAAAAGGATTGACAGTGTGAGCCTGTCTGATGTGTAGGGGTAAATTATTCCACAGCTTAGGCGCTACGACTGCCTTGACTGGTACGTGTGCTAGGACGCCTGCTTTTTTTCTTCTTTCTTCTTCTTTTAAAGAAAATAATAGAGAGTCTCTGTTTAGCAATGTTGCGTGCCAGTGAATTGGAAAAGCGTCTCCAACACCATGAGTCAAAGCTATATTACTGCCAAGGGCAGGGTTCAGTGGAGAAACAAGCTAGGCTCAGTGATTCAAATTGATAATTACAGACTGAAGTTCAGCCAGTGACATTTATTCTATTGCGCACTTATGCAATCGAACTTTTCTCGGTGCCTTTGGAGCTCCACAAAATAAAAATGGAGTACACCACACTGCGGATTTCACTTTGTAATTTGTTTACGAATAATTAGTTCTTGCTTTATTTTTTTTGGTTTGTTTTTTCCACCACATAAACATGTAACACATTGGAGCGAACGAGCATAGCTATAATCATGGCTAAAAGCCAAATCAGAGGAAATTCTCAAGGGTTTCTTCTGCAAACAGCAATTAAGGACAGAGGGACGTCAGATGGGTGTGGATGCAGGATAGTAGTGCGGCTGAAAAGCTTCACACTCTTCAAATAAGTAGAATGAGAAACCATTTTCTAATCGCGAGTTTACCAAAACATCAGACCAACCTTACAAGTGGATGCAAAGATTACGTTCAGCACTAATCCTAATGAAAAAGCAGAAGATAAAGCAGTAGTTTAAACAAAAATACCCCTCTCATGTTTGCACCACATGCTCAAAGTCCAGACAGGCAGGATTCGTGACAGCAGCAATATTAATATAGTTGTGTGCACAGACAATGCTTGTTCTGTTTGAGCGAGCTTGTGTACACAGATATGTTTTGCTTGGACACCTGTCTTTAATTATATTTCACTCACTTAAATAAGAGTTGAGGCTGTAAGCATAACATGTATTTCAGCTCTCCCAATACGTCACCACACATGTTTGAAGGCCTAAAGTTAATCCAGAGGCCAAGTTTACTTTGTGCTGGGAAAAAAAGAAGAAAGATGAAAAGAAGATGCACTGGCCACATACATCTTCTAGCTGTAAATGAAAGAAGTTACTAGCAGAAGTCTTGTAATACACACGACTGAATATGAACAGGGTGTTTCCGAAATGTTGTGAATTTAACTGTTTAACCTTTTCCAGCATGAGGAAACTTAAATCTCATTCTTGTAAACAGATAAGTTCAGCCATGTTTTCACCTTAATTTCGATGGACTTATTCAGGAATGGCTTTTAAAATATGAATCCATGGAGAATGTAAAGCAGAACAGAAGAGAAACACAGTTTAAATTAAAAGTTAGAATGACCTTTTGTATTTGAGGTTGAAATGATTTGAAGCATGTGACATGTAGATGTCTTCCTGATGTTCTGCGGTGACCTCTTGGTGATCCCGCGTGTTTTTTTAAACAAACTCTTCCACACAGAAAACAGAAGTGCCGTCCGCTGTTTTCCTGAAATCGTTTCAGGCGAGTCAATGTTCTCATTTGTCTCGATGAGTCACTAAAAGTATTTTCAGCACCTGCTGTATCAAACCAGCTCATCTGGTTCAGCGTGTGCCGATCATAGTTCAGATATTATGTTATTTGTATTATGTGCAAGTACAATTTTATTTATTCCGTGACTTTGAATGTGTTCTGAGTTACCCGTCATGTCTTCAAAAAGGTTTGGAAGGAAGCACTCACTGTGGAGTCACATATGTTAACCTGCATGCCTCCATGCAGGTTAGAAGTCATGCCCCTGGCTGTTGTGTGGCCCCAGTTTAATGGGACTCAAAAGGCCGAAAACCCCCCAAAACATGCCCTGCAGGTCTTTTTGTACATTGGGTTTCCTGAGCTGACTGAATTAAAGAGTCTACCTGCAAAACTCTGGAGAGAATTTTACTTAAAATCGTAAATCTTCTTAGGGATGCAGAAAACAACCAATGGCAAACATTAAGAAAAAACTTGGCTATTTCTTCTAAAGTAAAGGACAAAGAGAATGACAGATGCAGAAAGATGATGTAAACGTTAACCCTAACCACGTGCCCGCTGTCGTGCTTTGAGTGCGTCATTAACAAGTAAATCCAGGAATTTCTGAAGGATAATTTGGTCAGCAAAGCATTCCAAGAGATCTGTGCATACCCTTTATTCCTCCCACTTTCAAAGTTGGAGGAAAAAAGCTGAATAACAAAATAGGCCTTTGACCACTAAGTGATCGTTCCCTCTGACGTCTTTGTTAAGCCCTAAACAGGTTAAACGCTCCATATGGAAACAAAGATGTTGTCCATAGTCGGGACAGGTTGTCAGCATCACATTCCTGATCACTAATTACATTTTGGATTTCTAGGCAGTAATGTTCTGGAACACATGCTGCGAGTGGTAAACAAACAAACCCACGAGTGTGTTTATGTGACTTGCCTGAGGAAAACGATTGCTTTAGTTTGTGTTGGACTTTCAATTAACTCCACGGAGCCAAAACGTCTGTCAGGATGTCATGTAAGCTTGTTGTTTTACACGCATAACATCACACGAGTGCAAAAACAGCAGTGCCACTTTGGGAACGCCGAGGTGCCTCTTCCCTGGAAAACATATTTTCTGGTCAAAAGTTTCTGGAATATAATTTAGCCACAAGAACAGGACTGTGTGCAGGGACAACAAGTTCCTCCACTTAAAAACAGAGTAAACCGAGTAGTCTTTTCGTTGTGTGTGATATATAGAAGCACTAAAACACTGCTGTATGCCATAGCATTAAGATTTACATCACAAAGAGGACCAAAGGGATTTACTCAGTATGTAAAAAACAGCCATTTCACATTCTTTTAAAGTACTATCCAGTGAACAACATGTTTAATATACAAGTATGTAAATTATAAATGTGTCAATTTATCAGTTAAAATGTGCTTTTATTTCCAAAATGTCATTATGTCATCTAGTTACTACATGAGTATATATTTTCTGTGTCTAAGTCGCTGTGAACTGTCACAGTTGTTGTCCAGACACTGTTGACTGGCTGCTGAACGCCTTTGCAGATCGTACTTCCAGACACACACGAGCAGTTGACTCATCAGAAACACTCCCTGCCTCAGCAAACTCACCAATCCATAAGCACATATTAACTCACCTCACCTACGCTGGCCAATAAGCTTGCAGGATGCAAACTATATTTATTTTAATTGTAGAGGACGTTTTAGCTGATAAGGTTTACACTTAATAACTACATATTCAGTTTCGGACTGAGTTAAAAATCTATCAATAATAAAAAAGAAAACATCTTTGTTTAAAAGCCAGATGTGCTGATATGACACAATGAATGGTAACAATGAGTCACAAAGAAAATGGGATTTTTGCGTGAATGAAGAAGTTAAACTGACACAATGATGTCAAAGATGTCAAACGGTTCCTCTTTTTAGGACAAGTCGTCTCAAATTTCTGCTGCTGATGAACTTCCCTTCAACACATTGGGGATTATTAAAGTGAAGCAAGTGATTTGGGGGTGAACCGTTACACATTGAGCTCCTGACCTTCTAAATCAGAATCAGAATCAGAATCAGAAAGGGTTTATTGCCAGATGTTGAGCAGGTTTACAACATTAGGAAATTGCTG